CCCCCCCCCCAAGCATTTCACTGGTTGCTAAGAGCATGACCTGGTATTTTATGCTACTTATTTAATCAGATCTACACTATTTAAATTTTTTTTAAATCTCTCATGCTGCAATATTCTTGTCATCCTCTGCATTGACAGGATATTCTGTTTTTATTTCAGAAAATACCAGGGTACTTCTATTTCTTGTAGCCTGGCTGCTTGAAGGTTAGTAGTGGGATGTCTGAGTTCTGAATATTTTGTCTTCAGCATGGTAGAAGAGCTAGAGAAATGGAGAATTAGAAGAGATTATAGATTGGATAAGGCAACAAGGGCTTTTGATACTGCCTGTCTGTTCAATGAAGAACTAATGAATGGTTTGCTAAGGTTGAAATGGATTCATTTGACTTCATTTACTTTGTTCAGAAAAAGCTGATCCATCATCAAAGAAAAGGTGATGTGCTTAAGCTCATGTTATTTATTTGCATGCTTTTTAAATTACTCTTTTGAAATCACTCTTTTGAAAAGCATTCTGAGGCTTTGTGGGATGCTTCATTGAAGCTAACAAGACTCTTGTTGCTTGTGTGACATCTACTTAAGGGACTGACAGATAGAATATGCACTAATAGAATGTATTCCCCCTTTGCTATATATGTTTATTTGGTTTGCTATAGGAGCACTATTTAATAAGTCAACTTTTTGAAAAACTCCAAACTGGAGACTTAACTCTTGAGTATGTTAGACTGGATACCACCACAGGCTTGGAACAACTCTGCTTGAAAGAAGGTGGGGAAGAGTCCTGAGTCCAAGTGCCTCATCTTGGTAAATTCTTGACCTCTAGTAGCAGATTATTCTGCATAGGGTAAAATCTATGGGCTCTGTCAGACTTTGGAAGGTCTTGGGTTCAGCTTGATGTGGGTCATGGAGGTTTTTTTAAAAAAAAAAAACCAAACAAAATCTCTCATATGAAGACAGGCTGAGAAAGTTGGGGCTGTTCAGCCTGGAGAAGAGAAGCTGTGCGGAGGCCTCATAGCAGCCTTCCAGTATCTGAAGGGGGCCTACCAGGATGCTGGGGAGGGACTCATGCAAAGACAATGTTTTAACTTTCTAGCTAATTGTTCTTTTTCTTAATTCAGCTTTATCTGAAAAATACATATCTGAAAACAAGATTTTAGGCAAGTTTACTTTTTCTTGTGTGGCTTCATGTCCATTTCCACAAAAATGTAAATAAAATATTTTCCTAGTATTCTTCCGTGTATGAAAGCTCAAAACTGAAGAATGCATTAAAGCATATGCTTATCCAGTCTGGATAAAGGCAGCACTGCCAAGGACAGGCTAAGAGTTGAAAGGAGTAAAACAAAGTGTTTGTTGTTCATTTGAATTTTTATTCTGAAGGCTGTGTGTGGCACCATAGGTTATGAACAGGTAAAGTCTATTCCTTCAGAGCTAGTGGGACCACATATGTCACTGGGTGGGATGAGCAATTGCTAAATATTAACACACCTAAAAAGTAGCTAATGTTTTCATTTGAATTACCTTGAAGCCATTTCAATTAGGACTCTTTCTATTGCTACCGAGCATTTAGTGGAACAAAGAGGAAAGCTTCCTTGACTATCAGCTGAGTCAGTCAACTGATTACAGCTAGGCACCAAATATTAATTATTGAATTGCAAAATATTTTTCTGAGAGAGTCTGATGAACCACTGGGGAGGGAGGGAAGTAACTAAGAAGAGTACGTTTATTTTCTGCCAGGAGCAGTGCATGAAGAACTGGGACAAAATAAGAACCACTTGTCAATTCTTTTTTCCAGTAGGTAGCTATTTTCCAACCCTGAAATGACAAATTTTACATATGTGAATTCTGAAATGTGCTAGCGAAACTGAAGTATTTTGTGTGCCATGTTATCTTTCACTTCAAAATATTTGAATATTCTTTTTTCTCTCTCTTTTTTTTTTTTTTTTTTTTTTTTTAGTAGTTGACAATAAAACATACGAAACTCCTACTCACTGTAATTTTGCTGATAGAACTAAAAAGGAATGTAAGAGATGCTGGAATTCTTAAGTTACCAGAAATGAGATGGAGATTTTTGTTAGGTGTTCGCATTTTTTAAATGAGATATATTATTTTTGTCTTAACAAGAGTGGGTTTTCCTGTCGCTTGCCTTTGAATCTGGAGGGATTATGGTACTGTAGCATAGAAAGGTTGGTACTTGTTTTCCCCTCCTCTCTCTCACTTTTTTTTTTTTTTTCTCCTTTCTCCTCTGTTTTCTTTAACTATTGGTTTCATGTGTGGTTTTGACTATTGTTTTTTAAGACTTCTGTCAATAGTAATAAAGCAACTTCTGGGGAACAAACTTCAGTGCTGATACATAAGGTTCTTGATTAATCTGTATTGCTGGATCAGGTCTTTTGAGCTTCTGTTCCTTCTCTGAGTACCAAGCAAGCTCTGCTCTGGTGTTTGAGGGCTGTTTATCAAGAAATGTTTTCTGGGGAATAAACATCCAAATGGAACTTTTGAGATCAGGTCTTGATTGGAGGATGAAATTAACTGGCGCATACACAACTTTGTTCAGCCTTTCTCCATTCCTATTGCTTAGAGTGGGATTAGGGTATAAGTTTGTGTCTGTTGTTACCATTTATGTCATTACTTCTTATTACAGCCTCACTATTGTGAGATAAACTTTTGTGTTCTGTTTTAAAGGAAGAAACCCCAGTTCTAAAATCATAGAATCATAGAATAGTTAGGGTTGGAAAGGACCTTTAGATCATCTAGTTCCAACCCCCCTGCCATGAGCAGGGACACCACACCCTAAACAATGTTGCCCAAGGCTCTGTCCAGCCTGGCCTTGAACATCTCCAGGGTTGGAGCATTCACAGCTTCCTTGGGCAACCTATTCCAGTGCCTCGCCACCCTCACTGTGAAGAACTTCTTCCTTATATCTAACCTAAAGTTCCCCTGTTTAAGTTTAAAGCCATTACCCCTTGTCCTACCACTAGAGTCCCTAATGAAGAGTTCCTCCGCAGTATCCCTGTAGGCCCCCTTCAGATATTGGAAGGTCCTGAGATGTGCTTTTGGTGAAATTGGTATCCGTATTTGGATTCAGGAGTCAAAACAGGGAGGGACATAGTGTCAAGTTCAAGTCTAACAAATTAGACTGCATCTGTCCTTGATTCCTGGTTGATGCCCAGAAAGTAAGAGGACAAGTTGTATGATATTGAATACTTAGGAATTAATTGTGTTCTCCCACTTAAGCAAAATAACAGCTATATCAATAAAAGCTTTTACAAACTTAAACATGGTTTGGATTTAGATGACAAGAAGTTTTTGGGAAATGGGTTGCCTTAAAACCATTATGGTGTTCTTAAGTGATCTTATTCTCATTATGAACTTCTAAAACTATACTGAACTTCTTTGTTAAAATCATGTAATATGGGCTGTTAGTTTTTGAAAGCAAATGCTAATAGTCTTTGATAATACAGAGCTTGACTTTTGGTCAATTTAGTGGTGTATTGCAGGCAAATGAAATCAGATGAAAACTCAAATCTGATTCACAATCTGTTCCTTATTCTATTAGTGTAAATGGTATCTATTTGAATCTTTTAGGTTTTTCCAGATGACATGCTGCAGCTAAAAGCAGTAAATCGGATTCATTCAACTTGACTTTTTAGCTTAATCTTTCTTGTTGTAGGCTGGCTTTCATCTGTGCAATCACATCTATAGCATGTGCTCATATATAATGCTTTCCTGATACTCATGATAATGTGCTTTTGTACATATGCATCTGAAGAATACTAAGGGCTTGAAAATGGGTGTCTAAGTCTGTAATATGCCTGTGAAATACAGAGTTGCTATTGATATTTTTCACAGAGTATGCTGAATTTCTACACTGCAAAGGGAGGAAATTTACTGATTTTGATGAAGTTCGTCAGGAAATTGAAGTAGAAACAGATAGAGTAACAGGAGTGAACAAAGGCATTTCTTCAGTTCCTATAAACTTAAGAATATATTCTCCACATGGTAGGTAAAATCATGCTACTTTTATATTGCTGTTATGTGAAGGGTTATGTAGCTCCGTCTAGCTGTCTCCTTTTGTATGTGTTCTCATTGCTCAGCCAGAAATCTTCTGGGATAAAAAACATTCTGAAACTGACTTGAACCGAAAGTAGATATGCATCTGGAAGAATTCTCAACTTCTGTGTTACAAAACTGTTCTGTGGTAGAAAGCTGTTGCCACTAGAGCTGGGCAGAATGCAGACTCTGTTCCATTTAATATTCTCATTATTTAAAAATATTCTCAGTCTGCGTCAGGATGAAACCAATCTCTCCCCCAATACATGTACTGTTAGATAGTAACTCACTAGTAAAGACAACTGATAGGAGATGGGAGACTTAGTGGCAAAACTTCTTTTTGCCACCCTCCAGATGGATACCCCAACCGGTGACCTAGGAAGTCATTATGTCTCCCTGCCCTATTGGATGTTTATTGTTTGCTGTCATTAAAAATATATTTAGACAATAATGGTGTTTGAAGCTGCTTTATGTTGTAGACCCTCAGTGTAGATCAAAGTTAGTTCCTCTGGTTGCCATCTGCCCAATTTAATGAAGGCAATCTAGAGAAAATGTTTTGCATCGACTCTGTCTTGAATACAGGAGAAAAGTGGTGTGGTTGACTGAAGCGCTTTATTTTTCTAACCACCTCATCTGATGTCTTCATGGCAAGTCAAAGGACAGAAAGATTAAAATAAGAGGGGAGGTAATTAAAGAGATGCTGAACTTCCCTTTGATATGCAGCCTTGGATCTAAACATATGGAGAAAAAGCTGAATTGAATGCCCTGCCTCAAAGCTTGTTGTTTGAACATACTGGCTCCAGGAGAAAATGGAAATTTCCTACCTAATGCTCTTACTTTGTTTTATTAGGATCAGTCTTTTGGTTCAGCAACTGTTGTCTGTATTAGCCAGACCCCAAAATATATTTCTGGTGTTTCCTTTCTAGGAATTGCATTTTTCTCATTTTTCTGAAGGGTACCTTGTTTCTCTACTACGGGCTGAACAAGCTAGGATGCTTCTAGTTGAAACTGTGGGTTGTACTGGAGAAATCATGTCAAAACAAAACGGGTTTTATTGATGGATAAACTTTTTCATGTTTCTTACTTTACTTCAGAAGTTAGAGTAAAAAAAACCAAACCCAAAACAACAAACAAATCAACTCACCAAATAAAACCAAACCCAGAACAACAACATACCCCAAGATTTCTTAATTTGAGACACTGTTGAAAGCATGGTCAGAGAGGGACTGATTACCAGCACAAAAAGCTCAGAAAGCCATGCTCATTTGTTTAAGAGCCTTTGAGGATATTCAGTAGAAGTATCATTCCCTATGCCACTTGTAGTGTTTAAAATATTAAATAGTTCTAATTAACCCAGAGATGAAAGACCAGCAGAAAAAAAGTGTACTTTTCAGATTGTCAGGCATTTTGTTTGAACCATTGACAATACTTATGTACCTATAAAGGTAATTTATGTGACTAAAATTTGTCTGCAGTCATAGATGTGTAGACCTCTTTAGACATGTCTGGCGTGTTAATCAGTTTGATCCTGTGTTTTCCTTATAGTATTAAGCCTGACCCTTATTGATTTGCCGGGAATCACTAAAGTGCCAGTAGGGGATCAGCCTCCAGATATCGAGCAGCAGATCAGAGACATGATAATGCAGTTCATCTCTCGTGAAAACTGTCTGATACTGGCTGTGACTCCAGCTAACACTGATCTGGCCAACTCAGATGCACTGAAGTTAGCTAAGGAAGTGGACCCTCAAGGTAAGCACGATTGAACGTAACCACTTTTCATTCTCAAATGTAGTAACATAATTGAAAGTAATGATTATTGCCAGCTCTTGTGTGAAATATAATTTATAATATAGATGTGTATATGTACATTCTCATATAGGCTTCAACATCACAGTAACTGTTTGTTAGCTCAGTGTCATTCCAGTAATGATGCTGTAAATGTATTTTTAAAATTTTGTCACTATGTCTGACAAGCAAGTGGAGCAATACCTATCTAGAAATTTCTGTGGTACCTAGCAAAATGGACTATGGTGCTGATGGGCTTTCTAGATAATGCTTCTTGCATTACAAATTTTATACAGTCGTATCATGGGAATGCTGAGCCTTGTTAGAGATTTGAGAAACACATTTCAGCACTGTCAATGATGATCCCTTCTTTTCCAAACATACCATAACTTGAAGTTGTAGCTGGTATTGTGTAATACAAGCTTTGGGAATGTCACATGTTAGATAATTGTAAGCTGTAATTGTTCTTCCTGAGTATAAATGATTCTTCACCAACTTTTTTCTTTTTTTTTTTCCTTCCCCTCCTCCCCCCCCCGCCTTCACCCTGGGCAGGCCTTAGGACCATCGGTGTGATCACAAAATTGGATCTGATGGATGATGGAACAGATGCAAGAGAAATTCTGGAAAACAAACTACTTCCTCTTCGTAGAGGTGCAAATGTTCAGTTGCTTATCTTCTTTGCAGTCCAGAAAGTGGTTTGGATAAGGATGGTGTCTGGGAGGCCTGGAAATGAATCAGAGGTTGTGCTGGACTTGTTACAAATAAAGTGATTTTTTTTTTTTCCTACATGGATGTAGAAAATACACTGCATATTCCAGAGGAAGCAAGAAATGTCAGCACAGGTTTTTAGCCAATTTTCTCTCCTGTGCCAGGTTGTTTCTTGTAACAAAAGAATATTTTTTTTTTTCCCTTTGCATATGACAGAAGCAAGCACCAGAGCTTTAGTTATCTCACTGTAAATCAAGTTGTGAACCCTTTCAGAAATTTCCCATGTGATTGTTCTGGCAGCCACTGCCACAGTTGTTCATACTGTTAACAATATCAAGAATTTTGATTCTAGCTATAATTTATTGATGAGACCGCTATCTCTTCCCATGGAGCATGTTGTTTCAGCAAAAGAGAAAAATTTTTTCCTCTATTTTGCTAATATCATGTAATTTATCTATGTAGACCTCAGTGTATGTTTGATTTTTGTTTTGTGGGTTGGTTTTTTTTTTTTGTTTTTTTTTTTTTTTGTTTGATTATTTTGAAGTACCCTGAAGAAACCACATCAAAGTTTCAGGTATTTCTGTATTTGAATCTGTGATTTAAAAGAAAGTATATCTGTTATACATAAACAGGATGAACAATTTAGACACTGTTAAGGTTACTGAGTACTTGTAAACAATATCTGAAATGCCTAAATTGGAAAGCTTTGTTTGAATTGAGACAGTCTAGTTTGATTTAATGTGAATTCAGTAGCTCAGGCAATTGCTGCATTGACTTACCCATTGGGTTTATGTTGTTTTAGGTTATATTGGTGTTGTAAACAGAAGCCAGAAAGACATTGATGGGAAGAAGGACATTAAGGCAGCTCTTCTAGCAGAAAGGAAATTCTTTCTTTCCCACCCTGCATATAGGCACATGGCAGATCGGATGGGAACACCCTATCTCCAAAAAGTTCTAAACCAGGTAAAACCTGAAGCTTTGTGGTGAAAGGCAGTTTTATAATGATAGGACCAAGATAAAATCTATATTAAAATGAATGATGGTCAGTGAACCTTACTTATTCTTTCCTGCTTTTAAGCTTTTTAATTTTCACAGTGTAATAAACAATGCTGTGTATTACATGTAGCATACAAAAACTTACTGTGAGATAGTTTCTGACTTTTACTGACAGGTCTGCACTCCCCTGTTCTCTTGAATACTGAATATGAACACAAAAATTAAGACTTGTCTCCCTTCTGGAAGTGTACCATCCTATTCCTATCACATTTCTTCTAGTTTAGCTGGATTATTAGAATTCAAATTTGGAAAGGGGGGGGAAGACATTTACATTTTTAGAAATCATGTGTTCTGAGGGTTCTCTGTATGTCTGTACTTTAGCCTCAAAATCTACACTTTGTTGAAGTTCTTAATAGAAACAGTGGCTGTGTACTAATGATATAAATGGCAAATACAGTAATCGGAACACACTTTTCACACTACCTTTATTTTTGCCCAAACCTTTGGTTTGTTTCTATGAGTTCATGCTAAACTGTGCCAGAACAGAGCTTCCTTCAGCAAGAAATAGAGGTCTATTTTCCAGTTACTTGGAGGAGAAATCCCATAGTTTACTGTCCCAATAAGAACACTGCCTACAGCAGCCTTGGAAGAGTATGTAATTCCCTTGTCTTTGGGTATTACTTATTTCATAGTGCCATCCGTTAGCTTGAATAGTATGTGACTCTAATGATGATGCATCTCAGCAAGTTTGAAGAGGGCAAGAGAAGTCATGCCTGCCTCTCTAAAATTAGTGGTGATGCTGTGTTTTTCCGTTTTGGTGTTTTTGTTTTTTTTTTTTTTTTTTTTTTTTTTCTTTTTTTTTTTTTTTTTTTTTTAGGCTTATCAGCTGACCAGTGTTCTTAGCATTCCTACAAGTGTTTGATAGCGTTTTTTCCAGTTCACTGTCAAATTATAGACTTTGGTCTGGAATAAACAAAGACCAGGTCAGCCTGGCTTTGTCTATTTTGGACAGCAGCTGGAAACAGCAGAAAAGGTATTGGTTAAGTTGGGAAACTAGTGGCTGACCTGCTTCATTTCTTGCTACAGTGACTTTGCAGGTGTAACTTGACAGCAAAGTTATGGTCTGCTCTGGATTCATCCAAAAAGAATGCTCTTCCCATTTATTTGTGCCTCAGAACCAAAGTCTTCAGCCGGATGCAAGAACTTGCTTGTAGCCTGCAATTTTGTCTATTTAGGACATTTTGCCTCTTTTTATATCTTGAAAGTTTAATCCACATGTCTTAGTTTTGAGACTGAAGCATGAGCTGCATATACCTTTGGATCATCTTATCTGTCCTGGCTTGCTTTGCTTTAATATTCACTTTTTTTTTTCTTTTTTGGTGGGCTGTTTTATAAATTTATCTATTTCAGTATGTTGGTCTTCTATTGCTGTTACTGTGTTTAGAATATTATATATGGGAAGATCTATATAAATTTTGCCTCTAAGATATTAGGAACCTATTAGTGTTTGTGGTTTCAGGCAAAACTTCAATTTCTCTACATCCACAAGGTGGTGCTCCAGGGAAACTCCAGCTTTTGATTTTTGAGCCTGTTGACCTGTTGGACAACTTTTTTTTGAGTTTACATATTTTGGTATTTGACAATATTTATAGCTTGTCTGATTTGATTTGGGAAGAGTGTTTGCAGCATAATGCAAGAAGTCTGCTTTAGTTTAACCAAGGAACAGGTACAATGTATGAGAAATTTATGCCACAGGTAAGACATTGATAGTGCTGTTCAAACACATTACAACATATTTATGTAAAAGTAAGTGAGGTAAGTTAAGCACAGATCTGGTAAGCTGTTTTCTACTTTCCTTCAATGTATTTTCCAATACTTCTAGGTATATTTTCAGAAATGAAAACTGCGGGTCTTCAGTGGTAGAACCTTTACAGCCAAAAATTGAGTGTTTAAAAATGTAAATTTCTATAATCAATAATATGAGGGCAAAATCTATTTCCTTTAGTTTACTTTGTATAAGAGAGCAGAAGTCATGTGGAAGTGATTTTTCCAATGGTGGGAGAGTGCCAAGTAGGTACTCTGTATGTCGACACTTCCCTCAATGTCTGTTCTTAATGGGCTGTGGATGCTCAGAATCTCTTCCTTGTCCCACCTTGTCTTGTGGCTGTGAAGTAAAGAAGTCATGCTGGACAGGTATATAGGGAATTGGGAAGCACCCTTAGGAAAACCAGCAAAATTTGAGTGGTAGCATCAGAGCTGAGTGATGAGAGGTGATTTTCAGATTACATATGTAATGTGTATAACTTTTTTTGTGTGTAACTAAGCAAGTAGGTAGTAACAGGACTCAGTGAGTGAGAGGACAAAGGAATTTTTCAAGCCTCCTTATAAAGTGTGTGCAAAAGGGGTATTGTATTGTTCTTTAACAGTTTCCATTGCTTCAAAGATCAAAAGGAATTATACTGGTAAACTAGCACAGGTCATGGCTGATGACTACTTTGCTCTTGTGCGACCCCACTTGGGGTATTGTGAGCAGTTCTAGTGTCCTCAACATAAGAAGGACATGGAGCTGTTGGAGCAAGTCCAGAGGAGGGCCATGAGGATGATCAGGGGGCTTGAGCAGCTCCCGTGTGAAGACAGGCTGAGAAGGTTGGGGCTGTTCAGCCTGGAGAAGAGAAGGCTGCATGGAGACCTCATAGCAGCCTTCCAGTATCTGAAGGGGGCCTACAAGGATGCTGGGGAGAGACTCTTCATCAGGGACTATAGTGGTAGAACAAGGGGTAATGCGTTTAAACTAAAACATGGGAAAGTTCAGGTTAGATATAAGGAAGAAGTTCTTTACTGTGAGGGTGGTGAAGCACTGGAACAGGCTGCCCACAGAAGTGATAAATGCTCCATCCCTGGCAGTGTGCAAGGCCAGGTTGGACAGAGCCTTGCGTGACATGGTCTAGTGTGAGATGCCCCTGCAGGGGGCTTGGAACTAGAGGATCATAAGGTCCTTTCCAACCCTAACCATTCTATGATTCTATGATGTGCTTGGCACTCAGAAGGAGATGGTTATGCTCCAGCTTTCATCTTTATTAACAGTAAAAACGACTTCTATTTGCTTTTTAGCAACTTACCAATCATATTCGGGATACCCTGCCAGCCTTCAGAAGCAAACTTCAGAATCAGCTGCTTTCTATAGAACATGAAGTAGAGGTATACAAAAACTTCAGACCAGAAGATCCAACCAGAAAAACGAAAGCCCTGTTGCAGTGAGTGATCTTTTGTCTGTTTTTCTAGTTCGTATAAGTTTGTTTTGCCTCTTTTAAAAAAAAAAATTCTTTTCCTTTGTAATGGCTTTAAATTTAAAGATCTGGATATGGTTAAGGATTCTATCTGCAAACTCCAAAGAATTCAGTGCTTGATGTTCCAAAACAATTTACCCTACAATTTCAACAGAGTTTGTCCTAAATTAATTTTAGTAATCCTAGAAAAGAGAGAAAGCAGAGCAGGAAAAGGCAGACAGATCAGCAACACAGACCTCAAAGATGGCAAGATCAAAATTACATGAAGGAGTATTATCTATGATTAATGCGCACCTAAGCTACACACTGCTCTTTGCTGCAGGAACAGATACTAAAATTTTGTGTGCTTTCCAAAAGCAGCTAGGCACATTTTTGGGATGGAGAAGACATTTAAGGTTAGTAAGTACAAGGACAGATTCCTGTATGGAATCGTGAACAGCAATTTGAGGCCAAGAGAGTTTTCTGGAGAAATATTACTGTGTGCTTGCTCTGTTCTCATAGGAACTTATTGTTGGTGACTGTCATGATACGGCCTTTGTTTTGCTTTAGTGCAACCATTCGTAATGTTTAAGTGAGAGTGTACTGGGGTGGGCGAAAACCTCTTTGTTACTGGTTGCCTCTCTGTGCATACACCTCTGACCACTAGCAGCAAAATATGTGATGTGATGTGCCACCTGTGCTTTGTCTTAAAAATGACTTGGCGGATGTTGACCCTTTTGGGCTCAAGGAGTCATGGATTGAATACGGTTGTTCTCTGTTGGAGGAATTGCACTGCTAAAGTCACTGTCCAGTTTGGGTCTCATCCACAAAATATGTCTGTCTGGTGAGGCTTTGATAACGTTATTGTTAAGTGATAGAACAGAGATGAGTGTCCATCTGACTTTGAATCAAGTGGAAGTGGAATCTTTTACTTTGTTCTTAGCACTAGGGAAGAAGGGCTTATGCAGCTTCATGCATGCTTCCTTCCTTGGCCTGTTTCCAGGGGTGCTTGATGCTCAATATTGTGTTCCTTTTCACCTGAAAGGTCTGCCATTTTCTCTCTCCCTCCCACCCCCCTTTTTTTTTGCTTCTATGTTAACATGTGATTCATATTTACCTCTTTGAAGAGGAAGCATCTAAAAGAAGAAAAAGTTCTAAAATATACTTAGCACTTCTCTCTTGTATGATTGTTGTCACATTTCTTCTATGACTTTTTTTTTTTTCCTTTTTTTCCTTTCTCTCCTCTCCCCACCTTTGAAATTTAGGATGGTACAACAGTTTTCAGTGGACTTTGAAAAAAGAATCGAAGGATCAGGAGATCAGGTTGATACATTAGAACTTTCAGGAGGTGCCAAAATCAATCGTATTTTCCATGAACGTTTTCCTTTTGAGCTAGTAAAGGTATTTATCCATCTTGCTGGTGTGCTTTGTTTTTTATTTATATATTCTTATGTTCATACTGATAGAAATAAAGCCAAGATTAAGGTCTGATGGGAAGAATACACTCTTAATTGTGGAAGGAGTTACATGAAGTTATAATTGAGACATTTGGCTTTGTTTCTAGCTTTGGATACTGAGACATGCTAAAAATTTGAAATACAGGAATTAGAATATCATTATTAGTCCCAGTTCTTACTATTTTCCTTGCTTTTTTTATTGTTTTATCACAAATAGCATCTTCCTTTTGGTTAGAAGAGGCAGGCAGACAACTACAATTGGTAAATTTAAGTTGTTGTGTTCAAGTAGCTAGTACCTATTCAAATTAGAGTTATGTAAAATAGTTGTGTCCTGTGTTTTCTATTTCCTTTATTCAGTGCATTAAACCAAAGCCAGCTTTCATAGTGGTAGGTCAAACAGAACCAAATTTGGTGTTTTGAGATAACATTTCTCCGCTTGGTACATCTCTTCTTGTTACCTTTGGGTAACAGAATATACAGAAGTCCAGTGGGATGTGAGCTAATGAAACCTGGTTTCCTATGAATGTGTTGCATATTCTTTGATCCTCTCTCTCCCCCCAAATCTTAGTTTCCCCTCACCATGAACTCTACTTTATCTCTAGTCCACATTTTTTATTTTTTTTTATACTTTTCCTAAGCTTCCTCTCGACATGTTTTATGTTCAGCCTTGACATCTCCTAACTTTAAGTTGGGTAAGAACCAGACAGAGTTGTGGCTGATTCCAAGGATTAAATGTGGTAGGTCAGCTAGCAGTTCAACAGAGCAGATGGCAGTTGGGCTTAAGTAATGACCCTTTTGTTTGTGAGAACACTAACTTCTCTTCAACCTAGCTGGCTTTCAAGAAACATAAATAAAAGCTTTATAACTTCATAACCGAGACCACTCCTCCCAAGTTTGGTTGAAAAACAGTAGAATGGGAAGGGGAGGATAAACAGACCATAATCACAGAAGTTGCATCACTTTAGGAAACCAAGCTTAAAAAAAAAATTGCATCTCCCAAATCCTGTTTCTGACATATTCTACTAACTCTGTAAAATCATTCCAACTGTTGATATATCTGGAATGGAAGGATGCATGATTTTCAACAATTCTTACTGCTGCCTTAGTGTTTAAATGTTTTATAATACTTATGCTTTGTTTAGACCATTAGAAATGAATATTTTGCCAGTTGAACTCACCTGTCTTCCAGTTATATTGGGAGAGGTAATATTCTCTGTCTTATTTCTATCTTATTTAAAACCTCTTCAATATGATCTCATATGCTTTTGTTCCTCTAGATGGAATTCAATGAGAAGGAACTGCGGAGAGAAATAAGTTATGCCATCAAGAACATACATGGTATCAGGCAAGTGCTCCCATGTTTTCAAGCCCAGTCACATTATAGAGGCTTGTGGTCTTTCTAACCGGAGGGCGCGCTGGCTGCTAACTGCTAGACTACGCAAGTGATGTGCTGACTTTTATTCCTGCGTTCGTTTACTCTTCTGTTTTTCAGGTAGCTATTTTGAGCCAAACAGTTGGTTTGTCCAAGGAGATTTAATTACCGAGAAATGCTAGAAAATTATTTTACAAAGGAAATAAATAGCTTTTTTTTCTGGTAGTGTCTGCAGTTCTGTTAAGCCTGTATTCCTGAAAAGTCATAAATTTTAGAGGGAAAACTTGTGTTTTGGTATGGAAAAAGCTTCTCAGCCTGTATTGTGGCAGACTCCTTGCAGTATCTTACTCCACTTTATTTTGAACCATTTCTTGAAATTACTGATTTGCAAGTGAGTTGGTTGAGGTTTCGTTTTGTGGATATGTCTTCAGTATATTATTAGGTTTGGGAAGATGAAGTATTTGTTTTTTTGGTTCAGAGTGACCTAATTATCTCACTTCAGAATGATCAGTCTATTTTGGAGCGACACTTCATCAGATGCATACGCATTTTTCTGTCCTATTCTTTTGACAATAGAACAGATTCCAAAAAGCTTGGGTTTTTTTTTTTGGTTGTTCCTTCCCCTTCACCCCCATCTTGTGAGTATGTAATATCTTTTGGAAGCATTGCTTACGAGCTTTGTTGTTCTTAGTGTTTTGGAAAATGTTCTTTGCATTACCTGTATAGTGCATTCTCAGATGGTTGACTCTAGTAGCCATGGTGCAGTATTACAACTTTTCTGGAGTTTTCCTTATTGATGGAAAGGTTTTGTTGAGCAATTTATGGTAGTGAACTGATAGTGTGGGGCATGTGTTTATAGTCTACTTTTTTTATATGATGTGTTTACCAAGACAGACCCTTGTACGCAGCATTTGAAAGAGAAGGCCTATTTGTTTAGAGCTGGTCCTTATTGGTATCTGTTATATAGGTTCATATAACGTGCAGTGACCACTGTGAAATCCTCCATATAGGACTCTGAGTAACAGAACCACGTTTCCTGTTGTGAGTAAAAAGTGCAGCTATAGGGGTCTTACAGGATTGCTATGCAAGTGATTGTGCATGAAGTGCTGCAGCTGCCCTTCATCCCTTCTCTGAAGTTTGATGCACTGCTAAAGAGGCTTTATTGCATTCCTTCAGTACTCTCTAGAGTTCTCACAGTCACCTTTGAGTAGTAGGTTATGTTTCTGCTTTTGTGTTCTTACTCACAATGACACTTTTTTTAGAGGAAGGAGTTCTGTGGAAATCTGTTTGTGAAGGGGTTGTTACTACTCACCTGTAAGCCCCTGAAAATGAAGATAGGAGCAATTCAGTAAAAACAACTGCCTTGTACAATGCTTTTATTACTGTCTTACATATTATTTTATGTTCACAGAACAGGTTTGTTCACTCCAGATATGGCGTTTGAAGCCATTGTTAAAAAACAGATAGTCAAGCTGAAAGGACCTTGCTTAAAAAGTGTGGATCTGGTCATGCAAGAGCTAATCAACACTGTCAAAAAGTGCACTAAAAAGGTAATTTGCAAATAGATCTGGTAATGCAAGTATAATGTAATGGTATAGTAGATAACAAAGCATGTTAAGGTATTTTAAGAGGTTTCTGACCTAGTCACTTGATGTACAGAGTAAGACTCTCTTAAGTAATTACACTTTCTGCAAAACTTTCAAAACAATGTAATTCTGGAAATGTTAATTTTCTGATTCCTGTGTTTTGAATGTATATAACCTTATGATTGGATGTAAAAATTTTTTTTTTTTTTTTTTTTTTTTTATTGAGTCAGGAGTTGCCCCCAGTTTCCTCTTTAAAACCATGGTTTCATTGTTAATGAGAATAGAATGTAGGCAGCAATTCCATGGATGTGTACATCAGCAAAAAAAAATTGTACTTTCAAGTTTTCTTTTCCAGTGATAATAAGAGGAGGAAACAGCAAAACTTTTCTAGAGCAAAGACCTCAAATGTGTTCAGAGACATTTGTCAAGGAGAGAAAAATGCTCCTTCTATACTGAAAATGTATGTATCTTTGCAATGTAATGGGTCCACAAATTTTTCTGTGCTTTTTTCATGTACAACCCCAAAATGTCTGATCTTCAGCTGTCAAGAAGTTAGACGTGGAAAGCTAGGAAGACTTCATCTCCCTTGTATTTTTATATCCTTGTATTAGTGTTGACAAATGAGCTTGCTGCACAGAAATGTTGAACACTTTAGTGGAAAGAACTGCTGAGCATTGAACTTCCTGATGTGAAAGTTGTGTGCAGGAATTAAACTTTTAACTTGAGATCCTGTGAGTGTAATAAGTTAAGAAATAACCTTTATCAGAACTAACCATGGCATTACCATGAGTCTTTGAGAAGGATTTTCCTGAAGTGTGTGCTTGGGTTGGTCTATACTTGTAGAATGAAATCTTAAACTTCACATACCCAGAGAAGGGGCTAAGGAAGCATGTCACACATATTAATATGAAGCTTTTTTTCTCTCACACTTTTCACCTTCGTAGGAAAGCTGTTATCTGCAAATACTGAGACTCACTTGTCTGGAGCATTGACAACTAACAGTTGCTGATTTTCGATTCTCTTTTCTCACATTACTCTGTGATATTGTAGAAGACCCCATTGTTTCTTGTAGACTTCTTAGCTAACCTGGCTACTTTTATTGTCTCATCTTCTGTTCATCTGTCTTTCCCGTCGTCTCAGAGTGCAGGGTACCTTAACAGTAGCAAATATAGGACCAGTTTTAGGATGTGAACACAAGTATGCTGAAGCTGTTGAAAAATAGCCTTGTCGCATCCTTTGCATTTTTCCGAATAATGCAATTTTTTTTTTTCTTTTGTACCAATGATAAGGTAAATGAGCTATTTCTTTAAACAGGAAAAGGTGACAATCTTTTTGACTAAGATCATAAACAGATTCTCTGCAATATTTTGAGCAGCCTTTCCAGGTTTTTTCACTTCTATCAAAGTTTGGAAGATATGTCACTTGAATTGATTGTGCAGATTCTTTTCCCAGTGCTGTTGGCCAAATTTACTGTTGCGTTCTGCTGTCTACATTTTCAAGTATCGTTGTTGAGATGTAAAGATAGTGCCACTAGGTGGAGCCTTAGAAGAACAAGAAACCTGGAAATTATTTAAAGTCCTACTCTACCTAATTCAGGCACAGTAGAAAAGAGGCATGGAGAAACCTCATGCCAAGGCTGATGAATTGTGATGCACATGTCCAAAATGTGTTTTCCTCGATGTTCTGTGGAGCAAAAGCATAGAAATGATACAAGGATTTAGGTGTCTCTGGTTTCTCTTGAAAATGACTGTTAATAGCAAGTAAGACTTATTTTGTAATGTAGTTAACTTTTAGCCCAAACACTCATAATAATTGCTTTCTTCCAAAGAGGAAAGCTGGAGGCTTCCCTGTTTGTATTCTGCTGAAGCCACCATGCAGGTGTAAATTTCCAGTGGTCCAATCAGATCCTGAAAACTTCCAAAATCAGAGATTCTCCAGCCTCTCTGTGTAGCTTATTCCAATGCTTGCCTCTCCTCACTGTTGGAATGAATTTTCCTTGTGTCCAGTTGGAACCTTAGTTTTGTTTTTCAGTTGGCAACATACCCAAGATTGTGTGAGGAAACAGAAAGAATTGTTGCTGGCTACATTCGTGAAAGAGAAGAGAAGACCAAGGATCAGGTGAGGCTAGATCTAACGGTTTGGGGAAGTGTGTGAAGGAGGTGTCCTGGTTTTGGCTTAAACCATGACAAGGAGGAAAGTTCTTGCATACGAAGTACAGTAAGACAGTGGAAGATTTTTATTGGTGTTTTTTATTTGTTTGCTTTTGTTTTCAGCAGGCTTCACATTTTAGAGTGGGAGAGGGATTGCTCCTCTACTATTGAGCTTTGACACATGAGACTAGAATTGTTACAGGAAATCCTGATTTCCAATATCTACTTTGCTTCCAGATTTTTTTAACATACCCATCCCATGTTGTAATTACAGTGAGGCCCACAAGCAATTGGAACTGGAACTCTAGTGGGAGTGACAGGCTTTCCTTCAAGTTTAAAAAAAGCTTAGCACCCCCTCCTCCCTCCAACATTCATCACCCAGCTAGGCACTCTAAATCCAGGAAACTTCAAAGGTTAGACTACATGTAAGAAAATCCACTGGGAGTGGAAACAAGAGTTGTTGTCTGGGGAGCGTAGAGTGTGACAACAGAAAAATTTGGGGAAGAAGGGCTAGGCAGAGCTCCTAAGTTGTTCTGGACTCCTGGCTTTCTAGTCTTGTCCCTGTGTGACGTAGGGAGCTATGCAGCATGTCCTGCTTCTTTTCGTTTAATCTGTGCTGTGAATGTAGACTTAAAAGTAACTTTAAAGACTTGTATCCACTGGGCTTGTACTTGCAGGGAATTCTAGTTAGCACACTCAGTTATTTTAAATTTGGAAGAATATGCAAGTTACTTAAAATTGTTGAGTCGTTTATTTATTTATTTATTTATTGTTCCATTTGTCATTGTGTGCGCATACCTGGCAATTTCCCAGAACAAACCAGAAAGCATCAGCTTTCTGTAAATGCAGAGTTGATCAAATAGGTTATTGAGAAATATGCACATCATTATTATGCTGTTAGCAGTTATTGTTAATAGAATACTAGTGATATTTTCTGAGGTAAGAGCTAAACCCAAATCCCCACTATCTTTTGCTTCTGGGTGAGGCACCTGATACCTTCTGGAAATTTTGAATAATTAGAATTAGAATTTTGCTTAACTTGCAAAACATAGAGCAGGAATCTATGTTGGGTATTATTAAAATCTCTGTCATGTGTGATTGATTTTTATGAAGTGGACAAGTGCCAAGATAATGAAAAATGAAGTCTGTCAGGAAAAAAAATAAGAAGGAATAGCTCTTTTGTAGTCTAGCTTATTAAACAAGCACACGAACAGAAGTAGTGGGATTTAGAAAATATTGTTGCTTTAGGCTTGAGTGATAATGAAAGTAATATTCAACAATGCAAGAACCCGAGAAGTTCTGTTATTTTTCTCCCTCACTTTACCTCAATCTCTCTCCTTCACCTTACCCATCCTTTTTTTTATCTTCTGTCTCCCTAATAGGTGCTACTGCTGATTGATATTCAGGTTTCTTACATCAATACCAACCACGAAGACTTCATTGGCTTCGCAAAGTATGTATATAGAAATTTTCTTATAAAGACACCGTCAGGTTGGGTTTTTTTGTTGTTGTTCTTGTTGTTTGTTTTGGTTTTGTTTCTTCCTTTTTTTAATTTTTTTTTAGTATGTTCAGAACACAAGTCCTGAAGTGGGACAGTGAAGATGTAAGCTCCCAAGTCCCAAACATGCTCTTTCTCAATATACACCCTGTTGAAATCTGTCCCGCCTGTAGGGGGCTCTTTACCCCTGTTCACAAGCCTGGTTTCACTGAAGCTGAAGCTTATGTCTTGGTCTGGAATCGCATGGATCTTGGGAAGCAGCTTTGGCAAGCTGATGCCCTCACTGTAGCCATTTTAGGACCACAGAAATGTCTGATATTGGTGGCCTTTCCACATTGTTGCTATTGCATATTTTGGGAGCTGTGATTCTGTGTGAAATGGTTTTGCTCAGAGTAATGGATGTCACTGAATTATACATGTGCCTGCTGTTTGGCTGTAGAGAATAATAGTAGCAGAATGCCCTGCAGGGCCTGGTTTGACGTTCTTACTTAACTGAAAAGGCTGTGAGAATATTTTCCAGAATGTTTTCCCTCAGCTTCCAGCGATTTGTGCCTAAGGGACTTCATACCAACATTTTGACATTAGTAAAAATGTTAAAGATGTCTTCACTCTTTGAAGAATAATTGTTCTTCAATCATGTTCGTGCCATATTTGCCATAACAGTGTTTGGAATCATAACAGGTTTCATCCATGCGGAATGCTGGCAACAAAGTTTGGCACCACCGGACCGATTATACTATGGCCTATTCTATTCAGGACTGTGCAGGAAGGTCTACATCTTTGGCAGTATGCCTTGAAGGTTTAAAATGTGGAGTTCACTAAGCTGAGGGGGGAGAAAGCAAAGCCAGGCACTGTTTATGTGTTTGGTTTGAGCAACTTTCTCTAGAATTGTTTGCAGGTCCTAGATATCTATATCAGTTTTCTTGACAAATGACAGGATGTCGTAGGAATGGTAGCTGGCCTTCTAGAGGTCAAGATAACAACCTGCCTACTATTTACTTCTCTTCATCCTTTTCTGACAGGAAAAAGCCTGCTAAAAACACTCCATATATATTCATGTTGTGTTTTGTGACTTTGGGAGGTCACATAGTCCGACCTCCTGCTCAGAGGATGGTCAATGCTGAGTTCAGACCATGTTATGAGGGCTTTGTCCAATCAGATCTGGAAAACTTCCAAAATCTATGCAGCCTGCTTCAATGCTTACCTCTCCTCACTGTGAAAAGACTTTTCCTTGTGTCAAGATGGAACCTTCCATGTATTATAGTCTTGGATTCTGGAGAGCCAAGTGTGTCTGGAGCTATTTCATTATGTCTCTCCCCTGGAAAAATTCCCTTCATGGATGCTGCTGCTGGGGCCCGTAGTTCAATCTGCGGTCCTCACTGCTGTGTCTTTTCCAAGGAGTTGCAATGCCCAAAACAAATTTTTTGGGAGCGCTGCTGCTGCTTTTGCCAGTTGAGATCTAGAAATCTCCAGCTGCTATCAATGGGGTATAAACAGATAGCAAATGGCTCTTTGCTTAAGTTCAGTGGTAAGTTTAAGCAAGTGTTTCTGTAGGGATGGGAAGGGAAGTATCTTTGCTGACTTTTGCTCAGTTGGAAGAGAAAACTTGGATAACTAAGAACAATGTAAAATGCAAAATATATTAATGAATGAGCTAAACAGTAGAAAATGCACATTTTAAACTATAGCCATATTACTGTTACAGTAACTGTGTTAAACCTGGAAAATAAAATAATTTTGGGGTAGCATATGGGTTTCTGCAGTGTCTAATCATCCTGGACTATAGATCCCCCAGATTCCTTAGGGTTTACTTTCTTTAGCTAAGTCGTCTAGCCAGTTGTCTCCCATGACTGCAATGTTTTGTAAGTGTAAGTCCTGTGAACATTGCTCATAAGAGCGTAACATTTCAAACTATGTTGTGGGGCCTAAGGCAGGTACAGTGAGATGTGAATTGACTTGAGAAGGACTTAAGAATGACAGTATTTAGAACGACCTGGCATAGTTATGAAATTGTGAAATTGGAACGTTAATGTTTGTCTTATTTAGCAGAGCAAGTGGCAAAATATTGGAATTAGGTTTGGTTCCAGTTGGTGTAACTCAGACGTAGCTACATGCTTCAATCTACATAAAGTGTAATTTGTATTTAGAACAGTAAATAGAGGACAAATTGCTGTCTGAAAGGCCTGGGTTTTGAGGTATGATGTTAGTGGTCTAATTAGCTTCCCTAAGGTGACAAAATAAAAAAAGCTGCAACCAAACAAAACCAAAACAACAACAAAAAAAAAACCAAAACAAAATGGACAAACAAAAACCAGAAGAATGGCAATTACATTTCCTGAAGCCACATTGTGTGTTTTTTAAGGAACAGATTGGAATTGGTGAGAGATTAGTGCTGTGTTTTCTGTGTGCGTGTTATTTAGTCATAATTTATGCACCAAAACTTGTGGAACTTGGGACGATGCACCAGAAGGCATGCAGTGTTATTTGGCCAAAAAGCCTGGATGATTGAGAGCTAAACCCAGTGAATAGGCATATGGAATAAACATTCTTGTGGATTTTCCTGTGGACAGCATATGGACTGCTGGTTTGATAAAGTATGGTCAGCAGGGCAGGATCAGAATTGGGACAGGGCGGAGTCTGGTGCTTCAGCAATTCTTTGGAAGAGCAGTTGTACACAAAGCAGTTGCAGGATTGGCCTGTAGGCTGTGATCCAAAGACATCTTCCTTACTCTTTCAGAGTAGTGTTTGTAGCTGATTAATATGTATGCTTTTTTCTTAAGTTAATCAGTGCCTGGTGAAATGGTATAATCTAATCCAAACAAAACTTTCTGGCACCAGTGGCCACTCTGGTGGTTGAGTAGCCAAAGCCTGCTTTCTGAATGATTTTCTTCCACTGTCAAGCAGTATTTTAATGTTGTGGCCTAACACTTACAATCCGCCACATAATGCAAATGCTTTTAGAATTGGTGGCAACTAGTATGTTCTTGAGACAGGAGTGTGTTTCGTTTCAGGAACTGGGATTACCAGAGTTTGAGAATTGAGCAAAATACTTTTAAATATGGTTTAATTTCAAATATGTTTTGTTCTATACAATTCCAGCTTTTTGAACCAGCTTTATGACAGCTTCATCCATGGTTATATTCACACCCTCAAGGTGCATATAAATATTAGAATAATACCCAAAACAAACCATCAAGACAAAGCTATTAAGGAGCCTCCAGCAGGGGAAGATTTTGTTGTATTGCGCTAAGTAAAAGAAACGGCTTGCTTTTTTGTCTCTTTTGGATATTTATAGAGGCTAACATTTCCAAAGTTAAGCATATGAGCCACAATTTCTCTCTGTGCTTTTAGTAACCTTTACCAATCCAAGTAGGATGATGTTGCAAAGGAGACGATTAGTAGGAACTGTTTGCTGTGCATGTCTGTTTTGTCCTGAGCAGGCAGATGTAAGCAGACATTCCTATGCTGTAAGAAAAAGTAGTTGAAATATGCATATATATGCAACAATTTTGCTGTGTTTCTATGTTGTCCTAGCTTTCTGTGCTGGAATCAGAAGTAACTGTTATTGCTAAATTCTGTTCCTCAGGAACTGGTTTAGTTTGAGTTTCTTCAGTATAACTCTTTTCCTCTGCTTCCCTTAGTGCCCAACAAAGAAGCAGTCAGGTTAACAAAAGTGCAGTGGGAAATCAGGTAGGCACCTAACAGAGAATGGATAATGGCATGTGCAAGTTAATCCAAGCTGTTTGGTTTTTTTGGCTGTGTTAATTTGTTGTAAGTGTATCATTCACCTTTTTAAACATACGCTTCAAACATAAAATGTGTCATCAAATCACTGCCTTGTTTTACTGAATTTTTCAGAGCCACCTGACTTTCATTGTTATCATTGTTTACTGCTTAATATTTCTGCTGCTGCTCACGCTGCTGGTTAGTGTTTCTCCTCCCATGCCATTTAGTGCATTGAATCTTCCATGTTACACATAAATGTATTTTGTCATTAACTGCAAATTTCTGAATTTCAGAATCCAAAGTGCTGGTGAGTACTTGCTTGTGTGTGCTTTCTGATGATTATTTTACTTGTTCTTACGTGTTCACAGCTTAATAGCAGTGAAGGGACATCAAGCAAAAGCGAATTTGCCTTCACCTCTTCTGAAAGCTTTCAGTTGACTTCACAAAGATTTTGACTATGATTCATAGGCCTTTCTCAAAGTAAATAAAGAATAATTGGTTGGTTGTCTCTAATTATCATTATTCATTACTGAAATTAGTTGTTTCTTTCTTTTTATCATATAAGAATATGGGATTGATTCTGTAACATGTTAAGTGCTCCTGAGCTTTGCTTCTTTCTTTGCTTTTGTGTGGGCCAGCAGTGCTCAGTACTTCACAGGATCAGTCCTCTTTTCTATATGAGATGAAAATAATGAAAATGCTACAACTTCGGTTTCTGCTCACTTTGAGGGTTTTGCAAAGTCTTAAACAGAAGGAAAATTCTATGGAATTACTGCATACTTTAAAAGGAGCTAACATTCTAGGAAAAATAAGACAATGACATTTTGTATAAATAATTACTGGCATTGAACATCTTCCTGATGTTTTCATGTGCAATTTGTTCAAACAATGCTGACGGGGTGGAAGGTCAAGGTTTTCAAATATGACCACTGAATTTAGATCCCTCAGGTGATAAACCTGACATTGCAGAAAGTCTCCTATTCTGCTGCTGTAGATGAGAGTTCTAGCATTTTTTTAAAATTTACTCAGCTTTTTGGGGGATAGAAATCCAACCTCTTCCTTCTACCAAGAAATTGCTAGTTATTTTTGAGATGTTATTCAAAATAATCCATCAGCTTCTTGGATGTGGTGGTCCTCCACAGCCTGACCAGCATGACTGGCACTTTTTATGTAATATATGGTTTGGACTAAAATGAAAAAGTTGAAGGGTCTAAACACTGAAATGGCTTAAAGACTAGTCCCTCCCCTCTGAGGAGAGACTTCCTTCTTATCTAGCTGTACCGGAACATGTGTCAAACAGAACAACTGTCATCACTCTGGAGTGTCCCATAACAGGAACATCAACTAATCATCAGACTCTTCAAAAAAACACAAATAAAATGAATGATTTTTTTTTAATTAAGTGAATATTCCCTCTCTAAAGAAGTGCAGAAAAAGCTTGGCATTTTAAATGTTGAAACTTGATTATTTATGGCATAATGGACTTTGCTGAACCTTTTATTTTAAAGATAATAAACAGATGTTTGAAAGTTAATTGTTTGGAGTTGAAAAGAATGAGAAAATGTTTCTGAAATAAAACTTCATTTCTGCAATTTGCTATTTCAGGGAACCAATCTACCGCCTTCAAGGCAAATTGTACGAGCTAAGTTCTGTAAGCTTTATTGTTGCTTTTCCATTTAGCTTCTCAGAGGGCAAAGTTTGTCTCTAACTCATTGGTTTGGTGAATACTTGCTACCTAACTATTTAATCTTAAACTGCCTTGTCTGTAACACTTCCTCAACAAAGTATAATTGCAGTTCATCACTTAACTGCTACTAATCTGCTGTTACAAGTATGAACTTAATATAACTTAAAATGTTGTAGAAAAACTTTGTAAAAATTTAATATTTTTATAATGTACTGAGTTTCTCAAACTAAACAAACTAATTCCTGTTTATTATTTAACTAGAAAGAAGTTTTTGTCTGATATAAGTGCCTCTATTCATAGTAAACCTCTTCTTGAAAGGTGGGCAAATAAGTGTCTGGTAACCAAAAGGAAACATTAGCTCTTGCATAAATGAATGTGCTGTTTATGGGTACAGGTACTGATGTTGGTATTTTGTTTATGTAAAGGAATTGCTTCTGATAGAATAAGCAAGTTTATTAATAAACTTAGGAATATATAAAGTCTTTTTAGCGTTCTTTTCATAGCACCAGGAGGATCAATATGTCATGGGTGGACTCTTTTCTAACCCTTCCATTTCATGAGTAAATAAATATGTGAATGTCTTTAATATTACTAATTAGAATTAATTGTCTAAACAGTAGTTAATTTTATAACAAATTACTTTTGATTCACTGATGGTTAGGTGTAAGAAGTAAATCTCTATCATGTGCATTCTTTGGTAGTATCCATGATGAAAATACATATTTTCCAGTTTGTTGCCACATCATCAAATTATGTTAGTTATAACTTCAAGCAAACTTAAACTAAACTTAATTTCAATAAAGGAGAAAGGCCAAGGCAGCATTGATTTCAGTAGCACTTGAATTGAATCTCTTGGGAGATCAAGGTCATTGTTTTCCCAAAATAGTGGGATGCTCATTTGCAATCCATTGCTTTCCTTTTTTTGTCGCTTGCCTTAAACTGGAATGATGCAGATAACCATTAACTGTTTGTGTGTCTCAGAAATCAGATGAGTGCAGCAATATTGCATTTTTGGAAGAAGTGTAATGCCAGTTCCTCTTAACATGTTCTTGCTTCTTTTTCCTCTACTAATTTATCCTCTCACGCTTAATCTTTGGCCTTTTTTGTTTGTCTTTTCTTTGCTACCGCCTGAGGTTTTGACCTGACTCCACAAAGTTTCTTTTTAAGCCACAGGTTAGTCTGTCTCCTAATTTGCTTGAAATAATCAGTGTAATGCTTGTTTTTACACAGCATGCTAGCAAGATCTGCTTCCTGAAAGCTGACACACTCTTAACTATATTTTGTGTGTTGACGTTTGTTTTGATGACTGAAATTGTGTTTAAAGCTCCTCATTGTGATAAACTTTTGAAGATGAAGGTGTCATTGCTCCATGTGCCCAATTGATACTCTCTATGTGAGAATGCAAGATACTCAAATTACAGAGAAATATATAAAATTTATATGAAATTCTGTTTTGTGTTTTATTTCTGTGGCAAAATCTGAAGTAGCCCCTGAAATTGGAGAAAGGGCTTAATCTGAATTAAGAGTTTCGAGTCACCGTCCAAGTTATTTGGAGATTTGGATTTGAAGTCTTTGATCTGCCTCTTCTACAATGTTATGCCAGCAATCTGATTCACTTGTTCTGGACACAAGTAGCATTCAGACCCCATCAGTTGGCCTAAACTGTAGTGCTAATAACTTTTTCCTTAGTAACCCTTTTTCTTTTCTTTTTATTTTTTTTTTTTTTTTTTTTAGTCCTGCTTTGTAGAATACTTTACTGCTTCTTTTCTTCAGATACACTTAAATCCTGGTATGTTGCATGACCCAGGAAAATTGTGTGAACAGATTTTTTTTTATTTTTTTTTTATTTTTTTTTTTATTTTTTTTTTTTTTTAGCAAGTAGGTGGAAATGGAAACTTGTGCCTTGGTCATGAAAAATCATGAGAAGGCTGATTTGTTAAGAAATGAAAGTGTTTCTGTAAAAGAGGTGGTGCCCACGGACAACCACATGATGGTAAATTTTGAAATATCCTTAAATGAGACATGCTGCTGTTGAATTTTCACCTTATCAAGATTAGAGAAGCATTGTTCCTTTAAATGGCCTTTAACTATACTTATATTTTAGGTTAAGATTCCTTCATGATTGACTTGATCACCTTAATCTTTGTTTAACTACATTTGGAAGCTTGTTTCAGTTTTTCACTACCAAGTGCTTTGCTTCAGTGAAGACTATTTTTCTTTAAAGTAGACATGTTTTTAGGACTTAAGTCACTGTCGTCATTTTTAAGTTACGCAATATATTGTGCAGTGATTTTTGGGGGAGGCAATATCACAGTCTAGGTTGTGCTCTGACCTTTGGCAAATTAAAGTTAAATAGTGTATTAGGTTTCTCTTCTAATCTGTTGTTCCTTTTTAGCCTATAAAGAGCAAGAATCTTAATAAATGAATCTAAACAACCAATAGCTTGTGAGGATGCCTCATAGAGTAGTTTGTGCATTTTTTTTATTCTCTCAATGTGCTTACTATTCGGTAACACAAGTTGTTATGACAGTGATTAGAAGATAGTAGTGCTGCAAGTTGGGTGTTCAAAATTATTTCTATGGAGTTACGTAATACAACTTAAATAGAAAGTTATGTTAGCTCAACAAATGCTGCTGCCTTTATTGTGGAAGTAGCCAGTCTCATGATTTTCACACTTATCGTTCTGCCTATCCAGTCAATTTCACTTATCTCTTTCTTTTCTTGAAATCATCTTTTAAATACTACTTTTAATTTGATTCTCTAATGTAATTCTTTTACAAATACCTATTAATGGAATTAGTCATGCAGCAATACATAAAATGCACTTATGTCAAATCCTGCTTTCCTGTTTATCTGTGAAGTGGTGGAGAATAAGAACAACAGACACAATTTGAGTCTTGTGCAGCTGAACTATCAGAATATGACTTCCTTCTGGCTTGTTCATGTGCATTTGTACCCTCTAAGTTTCATTTTTCAGACACCCAGATTAGGTATCAGTACCCTGAAGGAAGGAACTGTGTCATCTCTTGTTCATCCTGTACACGGAGTCCAGCTACCGGTCAGAATACTGTCTTCACTAGCTTCTGGCAGTGCATATATATTTCACTTTCTGAAGTGCATAAATCATGTTGCTAATATCCGGTTTGTGCAGAGTGACATTTAGAAATATGATAGAAAATGTTGAAATGGATCTCTTAAATCCAAACCAACCAGAATATGAACTAGTGAAAACAATAATGAAACACACTACTTTGATTATATTTCAAGCTGAAGTGCTGTACAACATAGGTAATGCAATAGTTAAAAAAAAAACAAACCCAAAAAAACCCCCAGAAAACCACAACAAAACAACCACCCCCCATCAGAAATCTTTTAATTTCAGAAGTCTCTTAGAAAAATCTTTGCTTATTGCCCATGGAAGGTCAATTTTTTTATAAAATATAGCTTGAGTTATTTGAGAAGTTGGCTGGAGTCTAAGGTGTAATTCACCTTCCCCAGAAAATAAAACTATGTTGCTTAATCTCAGTTTGTTTGCATTTACACCTTGATCTGACTCCCCCCCTGATCCCAACACTGGTACTGAGTATTTTGAAAGTGTAACTTTCTGTAGTTAACAAAATATGCTTGGGAAACAGGAACAATTAAATTGGAAGAGCAGGAGGCTTAAGCTCATCTTCTTTCTTGATGTCCACTGGAACTGCTTCTGAGTATTTTGGGTAATTGAGATCTGTCATAGTGTCCAGGATATTTGAGAGAACATAGTACCCTGTTTTCTCAGAGGGGTGTAGATAAACAGGTCTAGGAATTTGTACATGAAAAACAAGATATTACCATAGTTTGGTGCCCTGCTTTTCATGCAGTGTTGTGTGGGAATGACAGCTGGTTCTAATCCTCAGCACGCAGGATTTTTGAGGAAACAACTGGCGAATTCCTTTCTGTACAAGACAGTGACCAATGTTTGTATTAGCAAGTTGGCTTATTTCTGTCCACACCCAGCAATGATTATGTATCTTTGGGGAGATGTGTTGGACTGGAGCAAGACAGTATTTTAGAGCTATGCACTAATGCAGTTCTTACATTAGAAGTATTAAAAGTTTCATTACTTCTTAAATGGCTTGTATAGTTTAGACTTTAAAACCATGGCTTGGTCTGTTCTGAGACCTCTGCCACAAATGCACTCCTCTCAAACTGAGAATACTTGACTTTTATTAACATGCTACAAAACGTGTGGTAATGGTGAGGGGGAGCACTGGATGGAATAAGTGTCCTACTTCCATTCCTTTTTAAGTGCTCATCACTTGCAAGGTTCTTGAATATGTTACTCAGGTGTTCCTTACTGGTTTGCTTCTAGAAACCGCCTCTTCATCCCCACTGTGAAAAGTCTGTCTTCAGATTTTTTTACCTTCTGTAAGATGTGTGTCCAAACCATTTTCAGTACTATGTTGGCCCTACTGCCAGTTCTTCCTGTGGAGATGTGCTTTATAAGGGAGCATCTTCACATTCACAGCATTTTCAGTTGCAGAGAGCATGGTTCAACAGTAGCCTCTCACACAAACACAGCCTCTTATTTCAATTTCTTTATAACATGGGAACAAACACCTTCACACATTTGCTGTAAAGTATTTAGTCTGCTGTACAAATATAGCTTACGTTGATGCAGAGCTATGTTCAAATGGTTGTGGAACCTTAATTTCCTTGATTCCCCCCTCTCCCCCTTCAAATCTCTTACATTTGCATTTGCATAGTTTAGTGCAGGGCGGGAGGGAAAAAGTCATTACCTTGGTTCCACAACTTGTTCCGTGGCAGCTGCCTGAAGGCCAATACACTGGCTATATATACATGTTTCTTTTTTCTTTTTGTTAAAAGTTTACTTCAGTAAACATCGTAAAATAAAATGAGGTTTTGATGTGTAATCAAGTTCATATCAGTATGTTTCCCTCAGCTTGCACTCAAACAAGCATTCCATGTCTATTTGTACTCAATAATGTCCTCTCTCTACTTCCCTCCTCCTCCCCAACAATGAACATGAATATCAGAAATAATGACAAACTTCTGCAGAAACCTTTGTGATACAGGCTATTGCATTCACTCTGCTTGTACTATAACTTTGAGTCTCTCTGTGGAAGTTCTGTCCAGTTCTTTCATAGCTTACTGACTCTTCAGAACCCAGTCAATGCTTTCTTAGTGATTTTCTTACAGGCAGAAAACCTGTAGACTGTTTTTGGATCTTTAGTGGTTTTCTTACATTGCTGGTCTGATTAGTAGTGAATGGGGAAAACATGATCATCTTATTCAAAATTAAATTGATGCTCTTGGATTATGTGCGTTACCAATACTTTTGTCAGCTTTTCAGTTGCAGCTTCTGATCTCTTTCTTTGGTTTAGTTGTTAGGTGTAATTTAAACCCTTGCTCTGTGCAATACCAAAGCTGGATTTTTGGGGGAGCTTACATGAATATGCATGCTGAATGGCCGTGAGTTATGATTCTGAAACTCTTACAGATGATGAGGAATAGATATTGAGCAATGTTTTTCTCTGGTTATTTGTTGATACTGGAGTTACTAGACTCGTAAAATCTTACGAGAGGAAGGTCTTGCATATTTCTCTAAAAGCAAAAGGAAATTCATGTTTGATCTTCTAAGTTCATGCTTGTGGGACTTGTTGAGGGAGTTCTAAAGAGCTTTTTTGAGCATTTCTTTCTATTTTAATACTCCCTAGGCAAGTAAAGAGTGTAGCTGTGGGGAGAAACAGAATGGGTGAGGTTCCCTGCATCTGTGTGTTTGAGAGAGTTCTGTTGTCTTGCTCAGAGTATGATAGGAAAGAAAGCTTACTTTCTTATACTGGAAAACAATAAATGATCCAATAAAATTGAAAGCTTCTGTATGATCCATAGACCAGTTTTCATGACCATTTTCTCTTCTTCAGCGCTGGAGTTGTCTCATTACTCTTAAGTTCTCCTTTGTTCCTCTTTATCTTTGCATGATGTAGCCTCCAGGCCTTAGTGCTTATAGGTATGCTGTTCCATCTATTTTTTTCATCTTTGACTTGTATCTATTTTACAAGGTTCTGCTTTACCCATTTTCCCCCTGATTTTTATTGCCACCTTAGCTTGTTTTTTTTCCTTCTTTTGTTTTCCTCTTCTACCGTATGAGAAGAAACCAGCTCTCGTATACTTCTCCTTACCACTTTCTATGTTAATTTCAGATTACCTTTAGAAGACCTCTCCAGTTTGTCACTTGATTCAACCCCTTCTGAAAATTCCCAGTGCATCCCAGAAGCCACTCACTTTGCCAGAATCTAGGTGCTTTTTCTAGTATCCAGCTTTGCAAATGACCTTAAATATTGGACTAGAGCAGACTTGTATATATGAACTTGTATGGACTTTTACAATGTGTTATTATACAGCAAATAAATATCTTAAATTTTACACAATCCTTAATGCACACATACTTGCTGTAAGTACAACGCAATAATACTTAGGCGTCTTCTCTCTTTTTCCAAGCTTTTGACTGCAAGCACTATATTCACTTTGTTAATGTTGTTTTTTGGTTGTGTTGGTTGTTTTTTTGTTTGTTTGGTTTGGGTTTTTTTTTTTTTTTGAGTGATAGGAACCTGCAAAAACTCTTGAATTTGCCAGAGACTGAAAAAATGCACTTGTTCTTAGCAAGTCTTTGCTTAATGAATGCAGCTGCAGAATTATGTCAAGTGAGTAATGAACTAAACTTGTGCCTGACTGCACCTCTGCACAGGTCATCCGGAAAGGCTGGCTGACCATCAACAATATTGGCATCATGAAAGGAGGATCCAAGGAATACTGGTTCGTTCTAACTGCAGAAAGCTTGTCCTGGTATAAAGATGATGAGGTAAGGAATGAAGAACTTTTTTCTTCAGGGGGGGAGGGGCAGGAGGGGCGGTAGTATTTATTCAGTCTTCTGAGATCACCTTAAAATAAAAGCTTGTACAGACTTAAATTGAAAGAATGTTTTAAGGTTTTACCTGAGTTCTTTAAATTGTCTGGGTTTGATTCCTGGAGAATTAATCCATCTAAGACTTCAGCTGAACACAAATACAGGGTGTTATATGGGGTGCTTTTGTTGGTTTTTTGTTTTAATTTTTTCCACACGTTGGTTTTGGGATGGGGAGAGAAGGCAGCCTATTTTGGAATATTCTGGTTATTGTCCTATACCTGTTTGAATTGCTCTTGCACATCTACTGTAAGTTGATCATAAATTATCTAGGTAAGTTGCTTCTAAACATGACTACAGCAATTGATTTAATGACAACAATTGTTCTCTGGCCTCAGATTCTAAGAGGATGAAAAGCCTGGGTGTTGTGTTCTGTAGCTGGTTGGTATGGATTTTAAATTTGAAAAAAATACACCTTGTAAGAAATGTTGCTGCTGATCAGTTGCTCACTTTAATTAGTATCTTGGTAGGCAGTTTGCCTCTTTAATAATTTTTTTCAACAATGTTGGTAATGATATGCTCTATCCAAAATTCAGTCATGTTAGATGTTAGATGTTGAAGGTTAAAATGGAATAATTGGATTATGTGTGCTGTGCTATCAGCTGTAGAGTAAAGATCTTGTAGTTTTGGTTTGGCTTTGTTTTTTGCTTTTGGGGTTTTTTTTTGTTTTTGTTTTTGTTTTTAATTTTTTTTAAATGTAGCCGAGTTTTTCTAAATTAGATGTGTTCAGCAAAAATTTAGTAATTTTTTTTCTAAGGGTGAACCAGTCCATTGGATAAAAGAGGCACACACAGGTAAAAAGAGTCTTAAATGAGCTGTAAAACATCACTCAATCTTTCCATCTTATTCTAAGTAATAATCAAAGAATGGCTTACCCCAGCAAAATAGGGAGTTAGTTGATGGGGACTGTGCACAAAATTCATATTCTGTTTAAATTAGCCTAGTGTTTTATTGCAGTAGATTTTCTAGAACCACTAGGCAGAGGTCCCATAATGCGTGTATATAAACCAGAACTCTGCTGAGTCTGTGAATCCAGAATGTGGTTGCTCTTTTTTCTGATTCTCCTCCCCATCCCTTGGAGGAGGGTAGGGGAATGAGTGAGTGGCTTCCTCATACTTAGTTGCCAGCTGGGGTTAAACCATGACAGTCCAACTTAACATTTACTACTTCAGTAACAGTGCTGATGGTGGAAACTATGTTGGTCAGTAGTGGGGTTTTTTTGTTTTTTTTTTTTTCTTTTACCTGAGTTGGTTACCATTTTGGGATAGACCGTAAGATAGACAAATCAAGTCAATCTCAAAGATTTTGCCCCTTGACCTTTTATTTAAGTTTTAAATTGATTCAAATGTATTTCCTGTAACAGGAAAATGAGTGCATGTCATAGGGGAGCAGCTAAGCGCCAAGAGAAAAAGTTTCATTCTCAGATTACTGAAATAAAACATGAAGTATTTTATTGCAATGATACAAAAATGAATTAAAAATAAGCACAAAAATGCCTTTATGGGTTTGAAAACTTGAAGCTGTTGCTTTTCTGTGATCTATGTTGACTCTACTAGAACTTCTCTTAGATTGGGTACAGGTAACTGTTAGTATAAGAAGTGACACAGTGAGATTAACACTCCTTGCTATGTTCTTTCTCAAGGAATTGGAGGCGCATCTGAGATGCGCTGTGGCAATTTTTGAAGTAGTCTTGGTGTTGCTTTTTTTTGAGTCTGATCTTTGTTTAGTGTGAAATATAAGAATTCTTGAAAATAGTTAGGGAATGTCTTCTGCTGTGCAAATTTAAAAATAGTTTGTTTTGACAGTCTTCTAGGGAGAGTCACCTGGGAATATCAGAATAGAACATGGAGGGAGATGACCACTGTCTGATTCGGTGATTTCCATATGCATATTTAAAAATAATGTCTCATAATTGCCAAAAAGTTGTGTTTCAAGAGTCATAAAAATACAAGTAGGTCATTCAAGCCAATATGGCAGATCACTCAAGAATTTCTTAGAGTGATAATACTGTAGTACTATTCCATGCTTTGCTGGTGGAAGAAGTTCCTCCTTAAATACAGATTTGCTGTATAATTTGGTTATTCTGCCCGCCCTTGGAATGATGGCACAAAGCTATTTTGGATTTTTTTTTTTTTAATTTATTTTATTTTATTTTTATTTTTTACTACTGGGCTTTCTGAAGAAGGTCAAAGCCACAGCTCAATCATTAGGTTAGTCAAAAAACTACTGGTTTCAGAAACAGAACTACTAGCTTTGAAAATAAAGACACAAATATTTGATCTCCTGGCTGAATTTCAATTTTTATAATTACATTTCATCTGCCATAAATGTTCTCCTCACTTTCAGCTTGGTTTGATAGTTGTCACATCCTGTTCTCAGATGATTATTGAAATGGCTGTGTGCTGGTGTATTTCCAGCCTGGTAAGATACGTAGTCTTCAGTGATGTGTGAAGTGATACCCGTGTTTATGTCTCTGGACTGTGCACAGGCCCATCTTAGCTGTGCACACTGTGAGGTCATAGGAAGTTCAGATTCCTCATCCCTCCCACTTGAGCTCGTCACTTCTGCAGTCCTTGCACAGCAGCAAGAGCCTGTCCGTTGCAGCTGGAAAGACGCTGAAAGTCAGGTCTCCCCTTTGTTCTCTTGCCACAGTGAAGAGTTTGTTCCCCCTTTGCCTCTACCCCTGAGTAAGGAATGTTGTAGCAGCTTGTGTACCAGGGAGCTCTGACAATGTACTTTACAAACCTACAGTGCTTGCTAGGACCTCTAGGCCTGTGTGCTCCTCTAGTGTAAGCTGAGCCCATTTTCTATAGTCTGGAGTTCACTCTGAGATGAAAATCATCATCTGAATACAAGTGGTTGCTTGCTAGTGCCATTGGAAGGATGTAAATTATTTCCTTTATTTTTGAGCTGCAGCTTTTATAAGTGATGAATCCATGGTGGAATGCATTTTGAAGCAAGTTACTTTGGCAAAAGATTTAAAAACTTGTTATATCCGTATTACCAAATAAGAGTCTGGTTTCTTGACATGGTTTTGTTGCTGCTCAAATGTACAACAGGATTTTATTCCTGATAGATGGGAATCAGTGCCTAAGAATGGTTTTTAGTCTTGTGATTACTGAAATAATCAAGTCTATTTTTGAACACTTTGTTTAAAGCAGTTACACTATCAGTTGTTGTGAATACTACTCTAGATTAGTTTCTGAACTTGCATACAGTTGCTTGTGTTCCTAAGTTTGCTTCACGACTAGTAACATGACTTTTTGCTTTTCTGCTTCCTTAAAATGAAGCAAGAAAAATATTGTGTACCACTTTGAGGCTGCTGTAAATAAGTGCTAGATTAGCACATTCATTAATCTCACAAATACAGATTTCTTTTACAGAGTATTCCATGTAATGCTAGATGAAGTATTGTAAGGCATAGCTACACACAAAAGATGTGAGCATTTTAGCTCTCAATTGTTACTGTTTTTTTAAGTAGCACAAAACACTGTAAGGTTCACTTGAGAGTCAACCTGCAAATATGAAGTTAGTGAATTAGCCACTCTACATTAGGATAAAATGGACTTTGGGAATGTGTAACACCCTCCTAGCTTGTGAATAAAAAAGCTCTTTATTGTAAATGAAAAGATGTCATTTGTGAAGTGGTGTAGCATATTTACAGGGCATAGTCGGGGAATGTGATTTTTTTATTTCTTCCAAAGCATCTAGAGATTTCACTGGGTAAATGGTTGGTGAGCAAAGGATGCCAAGCTGGGCTCTAGGATACAAACTTCTAAAAATGTGAACTTTACATTTGGAAAATCCCCTTAATCTTATTTCCAAATAAAATATTTCCATTTTGTTTCAGAAATAGGAAAGGATAGTATTGTCAACATCCAGTGACAGATGCAGTTTGTATTATAATTTCACAGCTTATTCCCCATTATAAAATTCTGTGTGATTTGGAGGGAGATATGAAAGTAAATGAGGAGATGAGAGAGTGGAAATGGGAGTTGTTCCTCTAATGTCTGACATGTTATGTATGTTTACAGAATTACCTTGCCACACAAAAAGCTGCTCTCTGCTTCTGTGGCTAGTACGAATGTTAGTGATTTTTGTACCAACAATAATCTAATAATGCAAGTTGCTCGAGTTGTGCCTGAGAAGTATACAGGAGGAAGAAACATACAATGGTGCCGCAAAGCTGCATATAAATAAAACTTAATGTTAGCGAGTTAATGAGAACAACTAGGAAAAGAGTACTATAGGAAGCACAGTAAAAATTTCAGCAGTGGGTTTTATTGTATTTTATAGGCAGTGTTGTTTTGATTCTAGGTGGGTTGCAGTACGCGGCTTGGTTACTGACCGGCCGTCTGAGATCCAGAGTGACTCTTGGCTGGAGCTGTTGGTGAAGATGCTCTGGTGTGTCAGAGCGGTTTCCCACTGGCGGCTGTCCCTCAGGCTGGGTTGTCATGCGACTGCCTGTCTGTGCCTGCTGTACAGGTGAGAGGATGTTCTGCACAGCAAGTGTAGACAGGCAGACACATGACAACTCCGTCCAGCCAGTCCCTTGGAGCCATCACCGCTGGTGTGCAAGAGTTTGTACCGTTCCAGTTTGGGGGACTTTGTTGGGGGGGAACACACATAACAGAATTAAACTTTAAAACATTGGGAGCTGTAGAACAAGAACAGAACTTGATTTTATTCAGAAAAGAATCATTTTGGTACATCAGTTATAATTGTGCTGACATGTATCAGAGATGCCATTTCAACAGACTGGTCACACTGAACATTTGGAAAAACAAAAAGGATTGAATCCATGTTTTATTTTATATGCAATTCATACAGGGTTTTCCCTGCATATTGTACTCACACATAGTAATTTAACCAGATGTTTTTACTCTTCTTGGAAGCAC